GTGCAATGAAAATACCGTATACTGCCAGGGGGCTTTAATATATTGTTACAATGGGCACAAAAGAAGTTTAGATGTCATCTTATTCTCCCCTCCCCTTTTTAAATCAGAAAGATTAATCAAAGTTACAGCTAGGAGCGCTGATGTCACACTTGCATAATTATGAAGTTATAGCTGCAAGTCTACCAAGAACTCTCTCAGTATTTTGAATTTTTATTGAAACTTTCATCTGGTAAGCTCAAACACCTATTAAATCTTCCTACATTCTTGTGAAGCTGGAAGCACTGCATTCACTTCTGACTAGATTAATGACTGAGCTGGAAACAAAAGCCAGAACTCTTGACTTGCAAACCCCCACACTAAAAAAAAAAAAAAAAAAAAATAGTAGTATAGTCTCTCACTATGTTCATGATTTTTCTCTCACATATTTTTAAAATAGATTCTGTGAATTGTTTTAAAATAAGTCATGAAAACTTCAGCCATTTTCTTCATAGACTGAACACACCTGATTGCTGTTTCAGCATTTATATTTAAAACTTTACATTGAATGAAAATAATCTAGTCACTAAAGCAATCTGCTCTCAATCTGGACTGTCCCAAGTGAATGAGAATCTTCCTCATTACATAAACTTGATTTATTTTCTATACAGAAATGGATCTATACTTCTAGGACATTTTAAACTGCAAAGCAAATATCTGGGAAGTCAATGCAAAGACAATGTCTAATTTTAAAGTTGGAGGGGTCCCCACCTCCCAAGGAGCGTTATGGGGAGAACATAAAAAAAGAACAGAAAGAGCCATTTTTAGTAGCCAGGCAGAACAGACTTATGCTAGTCTCGTGCAGAAGCCTATGTGCACGTATAGCTTCTGCAATCAGCTAAAATAATACACCAGGAACTTAGCTAGACAGTAAGCATCATTTTTTTTTTTACTTTAAACTTGCAGATGTCTGCCAGTGCAACAAACAGCTAAGTAGTGGAGACTTTACATTAGTGAATCTCAGCCACACGATCAGCCTGGACCTAAAACAAACAGCTGTAGAGGCTATTTTTGGATCTGCAAATTAATCCCTCTCCTCTCAACAATCATGGCAGCCTGATCTATCTGCTCCCCACAAGGAAAAGAGGGTAGAGAATAAACCTGAGGGGTGAAATGTTGGGCCCCTTTTAGTCAACATTTAATTGACTTCAAAGACTAAAGTACACAAGGCCTTCTAGTCTACCAAGTGGGACTTAAGCTTTTGTGCCACCTCCAGTTCAAATGAAAAAAACTCAAAACACTCACAGACAAGAATTTTTGTTTCATATAAAAAAAAGCTTTAAAAAAAAATTCACACTATTAGAAAAAGCTAAGATTGAGATCTAAAATTTCCATTTTCTTCTAATTCTGTTACCCACCATAAGCAACCCAAATTAAAATTATAAAAGAAAAAAAAAAATCAAGATATGTGACACAATCAAGAGCTCCATTATTTTTCCTCTTGTTCACTTTTGTCACTCTGCACACACAACATGGATATTCTTTATATGTTAGTCCAATTTATATTATTAACTCAGAATGGGGACTTTAGGCCAATCTTCATAATCACTGGGTACATCTACACATGCAAATAATTTGCAGCAATAAACTTGGGAGCAGTTTGAGCCAGAGTAAACTACTCCCAGGCACAACATCTATACACGCGCCCAGAACAGCAGCAAATTGAGCCGAGGTGGAGCAGTTTACACCAGGGCCAGGAGCACGGGGAGTCAGCCCCAAGCTCCAGGTGGTATCATCGAGGCTGGCTGGGGCACGAGGGTGCTAGAAGTGCAGAGCCATGTGCCTAAGGCAAGAGTCTGGCCGCCTAGGCTGGACTGACTGGGTGCAGTTTTCATCCATGATCAGTGTCTATGCATGCATTTAATCGCAGTTAATTACCCATCATTTAGTTTATTAGTTAAATTAGTTTACTGTGGCCTAATAGCATTGCACATGTAGACAGTGACACTTTACTCTGCAGCTACTTTGTCTACTCCGTAGTTAAACATGTATGTTGATGCAGCCACTTACTCCAAAACTAAGGTGGTGTAAATCACTAATCTCACAAAAAATACCCTGAGATTTATACCACTGCAAATGAGATCTTTTGTCTTCTTGAACTTCCTCTTATATAGCACCTTTGTCATGTATGCTATGTAAATAACAGTGTTTCACAATACATGAAGTTAAAAATGCAAAGATAGGGTGGAACCTATTTTTCAACAAAATCACAAAGCAGCCCACCTGCTATTCGGTCTGATTTTTCTCAAGTGGCGACTGACTGCATGACAGAAATCACATGCAAGTTTATTAACTACCAGAACAATCTGATCAATCTGGGATCTGCAAAACACCCCTTGTTTCACTGGTTCATCATGGCCTAAGAGAGGCAGTTGAGTCCTAAGAGAGCCATATTGGTCCAGTCAGGCAGAAGGCAAGGTAGATATATGCACCTTTATAGAATAAAGATGTATACAGAACATAAGCTTTCATGAACTGAAGCTCACTTCATCAGATGGTGCAAGCTTGAGTTCATAGAAGCTTATACTCTCTATAGATCTTAGTGTGTTAGCCTATGAGGAGTTAGTTATGTTCTAGCCACAGATAAAGGAATCATGGAGAAGAAGGGCTGGAAGGGGCCTCCGGAGGTCATCTAGTCCAAGCCCCTACCTGAAGCAGGATCATTCCTATCCAAAGTATCCCATACAAACCATAGCCTAAACTCTACATAAGACTACCATCTACCCTGACACAACATAGACCTAACACCCTAACTTGCCACAGCTAAAGCAGGGGAACCACAGCAGCCAATGTCCTTCTTCTATAACGTTGTCAATTAATGCTCAAGAGGTCCCAGGTAGAAGAGTCGCACCCCCTACTTCAGCAGAAAGCAAAACCCCCCACAGTCCGTACCAATCTGACCATGAGGTAAAAAGGATGGGGGGGAAGTGTTCATGATTCTGCTCCGATCTATTTTTGATATTACTGACAGCAAAGTTCTTGTTGACTTCTTTGGAGCTTCTGCCAAGCCAAGGGCACATCCATCTGTCTGGAGTGGCTTGGCCCCTAACACTAGGAAGGATCCCAGAGAAGCAGCTCTGGACAAGTGCTCTTCTACTCTAGAGGCTCTCTCCTAGAGCACCAGTCTGATATCATTACACCTCCTGATCCCTACAGAAGACGAGCAACCTGCATTTTACCTGCCAGGCAGCCCAGACCTGTTCCTGGCGGATAACCACATAGGCTCCATCCAGATGAGCACGGCTGTGTGGTACGTGGCGCTGCAGACACATCTGTGGTGTCACATGCTGCATGTTCAGTTGTTCTCCGTGCTGCAAGGGAGCACTGTGGAGGGCTTTTTGACCCCTGGATATTCAGGGGTCAAAAAAACCCACGGGGAAGAAAGTGGAGTGGCGCACAGGGCGACAAACCTGGAGCCTGGCCGGCCAGCACCATGCTCCACTGCCAGCCAGGCTCTATGAGGCACAATCACCACTGCTGCAGCCCCAGGAGGCCCCCAAGTAAGGCTGCTGGGGCCAACCCAGTACTAGCACCAACATCCCCTATCCCACCTGGGATAACCTGCCATGCACCAGAGCGTGTGTGGCACAGGAGTTCCCCCAGGACAACTTGCAGCAGCACAAGGTATGTCACTGCTATTTGTCCTTGGGGAATCAAACCTCCATGCAGGTCTAGACGTGGCCGTAGTGGCGAAAACACCTGTGGTGCATTCAGAGGAAAAGTGTGGAGGGAGATGAGAGGGGTGAAGAATTAGAATCCTAGAGGCAGGGCTAGAAAGGCCCTTAAGAGGTGATCTCTAGACCATCCAACCCATCCCATACAACAATCCTTGCCTAACCTGCTATTGAAACTAGAGTCAAGAGAGGAGGACCATTTTTAAGACCCGGATAGACAAAACCTTGGCTGGGATGCGCTCTGCTTTGAGTGGGGGGTTGGCTTATGACCTCCTGAAGCCCCTTCCAACCCTTGTTTTCTAGGATTCTGTGACCACACAGTGCTAAAATAGACTGGAAGGTGGCTTGAGGGCAACTCTCAACTTTTGTAGACCCAAGTCCCTCGCTTGGGACTGGAGCTCCCCGGGAAACCTCAGTGCTTGGCGCTCACCCCTCCCCTGCCTCCGGGAGAGCCCCTGTGCCCTTCTGCGGCGGCGAACTCCGCCCCCCCGCGGGACAGAACGCGGAGACCCCCCGTGGAACGCCGAGACAAAGCTGCGGGTTCTAGAGTGAATCGCGCCAGCACGCGACACCCCCTGAAGGATCGCCGGCTGCCTGGTGGACAACCACGCTGGCTGCGGCCCCCGGGCTCCAGCAGGGCTCAGCCCCGGGCGCCGGTGCTTCAGGACACAGATCAGGGCTCTGGGGACGAGATCGGTGCCTACCCCGCCTCTGCACCCACCCCAGGACTTTGCCCCCCGCCGGACGGCAGCCGAGTCCCCCG